ACAAAGGCAGAGGACAAGGTATCCTCAAGCCGAAAAGAAACAAAAATGGTCAGGATTGAAAAGCTGACAAAAAACTAAAAGAACACGATAAACACAGGAACAACCTCTCAAATCAATTCCCTATTATTACATCTTTCCAATTCGAAATGACCAAAGAAAATGGGAACCCTTGAAATGCTTTATTTGAAGAAGCCCATAGCGATGCAGAGAACTTAGCCTTCTCAAAAATATCAGTTGCCTCCATCTCCTTTTCCTCTAAAATTCTGTTATTCTGTTCCATCCACAGAGACCATAATAATGAAAGCACCATACTACTATTCCATAGGACTCTGGCCTACTTGTTAAGAACCTAAACCCACAACTCTCAATCATCAAAGAACCACACTTTGCTGGAATTGCCCAACTAAAACCCGCCTCCACACTTAGCTTGTTCCAAAGTGATCTGACAACTGTACAATGTAGCAGTAGGTGATCAATACTTTCTTCATTTTCCCTGCAGAGAACACACCCAGATGGGGAAAGCACCAAATAAGGGTTTCTCCTCTGCACCCTATCGCAGGTTTTAAGTTTCCCATGAAAGAGACTTTAATTCTATGGGGGACACGAGACTTCCAAATGAATTTAAAAGGTTCAAAATTCAGGATATCATCTTTGTCCACTAAGGAACTCAAAAAGGATCAACACGAAAAACCTAAGGGATCACACATCCAAACTCTACGATCAAGAGAAGATGAACAAATTGAAACGGAATTGAGAACTTGAAGTAGAGAATGCAAATCCTCCAGCTCTCTGTCATTGAGGCCTCTCCCAAAACCAAGGTTCCAATTTGACTCATCATTACAAGACAATGACATAATATCAGAAAGTAAAGCATTTGGAAATTCTGAATGTCCAAAGAGCCGCGGAAATAAACACTCCGAAGGTTCATTTTCACACCATTTATCTTTCCAAAAAAGATGGTGTTCCCCTTTCCCACACTCAATTTGACAAATTTGGCATTAGCATACTAGTTTGGCATTGTCTAGTAATGAATTCTCTTCTTCAAAATGTCAAATTGAGTAGAAAAATCACTCTCTAAATTCTAGTAGCATTTAATTCCTATTGATTGATGTATTGACTTTTTAATATAATTGTAACAGTATTGGCTTTTTATTGTTATTTTCTCTTTTATCTTTTATTAAAATTATAAGTTTACTTCTACAGCATTCAAACTATGAGAAAGAGTAAATATAACATTTGAATAACATTATGCATTGGAGAACAAATCAAAATGACATTAATTTTTTTTTAAGGGAAATTACATTAATTAAATATGCTGTAAAACACTTTTTGATGCCAAATATAGCATTGACCTAAGCATTTGCATTGAAGATGGCCTTATGGCGACACTAATAAGACTCTAATTTTAATATTATACCCTACTGCAGAATTCCCTGAGTGTTTTAACATCATCATAGAAAATTCAGTAAAAAAAACAAAAAAAATATTGATTGATCGAATTTGGTAGTAGTAAGTGTAAGATTACCTTGGAAAGATGCTACTGAAGAAGCGAGACCACACTCCCCAAAGTTGAGAAGAATACAGTCTTTAATGGCTTTGGTGACATTGTAGGGTGTTAATGTCATGGGGTCATCTTTGAGTTGGTCTCTATTAGGATTCAAGTTCACTTCCACCACCATGTAACGATTCTTAAACCCAACCATGATTCTTCTTTATCAAAACGAACCCCACCTAAACAAAGCCAAAACTGATAAAAGAACAAAACAAAGCTTGAGAAATTTATTTAAAAATAACAACATAAATTATAGGGATATAGAGGCAAATGGCCCCTTTTTAAGGATTTTTTAGAAAAATAACAGAAATTTTGTAAAATTAGCCAAATGACCGTTTCTTTTACTAACTAAATAGTCAATCACTGATTGACTAGCGGTCAATCACTGATTGACTTAAGTTTATCATTGATTAACTCGATAATTTTTCATTATCAATTAATATTAGTTAATAATTAGCCAAAATTAAATAGTAATTAATCAATTTCAATTAACAAATTACAAGTTTATTAATGATAAATCATTGATAAATTACTATTCATACAATTTCAATAAACAAATTACAAGTTTATTAATGATAAATTATTGATAAAATTATAATAATGAATAGGTCAATCGCTGATTGATCAATCATTAGTTGACTACTGAAAAAAAGACCACTTTGCTAAAATAAAAAAAGAAAAGTAAATTGTACGGATGGTCTCCAAATTCTTTAAAAGGTGACAGTTTGGTTCCTAAACTTTTTTCTTTTATGAAACGTACCTCAAACTCTTTAAAAGGGTGCAGTTTGGTCCATTCCGTCTATTGTCGTCCAAAATATAACAGCACAGTGCACATGATCTATCACGTGGCCCATCTTTTGGGGGTATATGTGTAAAATCACATTTTGGGGCACATTTTATCTCTCATAGTGCACGTGATCACGTGGCCCATCTTTTAGGGGTATATGTCTAAAATCACATTTTGGGGCACATTTTATCTCTCTCTCTCTCTCTCTCTCTCTCAATTCAAAAATCACTTGCTATGGCTCAGATTTGCTTTCTTTTGGTCTCATGGTGGATTGACTTGTAAGTATAATCATAGGCCATTGCGGCCGATCTTCGAAATCGAAGTCAACTCCTCCGTTCTCAACAACAAGTTCATCGCCCATCGCCTCGGCCTCATCCCGCTAACCAGCGACCGCGCCATGTCCATGCGCTTCTGTCGTGACTGTGACTGCGACGGCGACGGCCAGTGCGAGTTCTGCTCCGTCGAGTTTCTCCGACCAGACCCTAGACGTCACCAGCAAGGACCTCTACACCGCCGACCGCACCGTCGTCCCCATCGACTTCTTTGATCCCGCCGGCAATGAATTCGGCGACTAGAGGTAATTCTTCTCTCTTTCTCTTTATTTATGTTTCGCACATTTGTAAGGCTATTTTTTTCGTTGTTCCTAAATGTAAGCCAAGCCCTAAATATTGGAAATGAGATTGTTTGGAAACAAATGTATTTTCACCAAATAGAATTATGTGAGCTAAAATGTGGATGTTTTGGAGATTAAATAAGATATGAGACTAGAAATCTCCTAAATTTACCTACTAAGATGTTAGCAATTCAATTATGAGGAGATAATTATTCTTCCGTTTTGGACATTCTTTTTCGTTCTCTCTGTGTGTGTGTGTTTAGTGTTGGAATTGAAATGACATTGGTGAGAGAGAGAGATCTGTTCTGTGTGTGTGTGTGTTTAGTGTTGGAATTGAAATGACATTGGAGAGAGAGAGAGAGAGAGAGAGAGAGAGAGAGAGAGAGAGAGAGAGGGAGAGGGAGAGAGAGAGGGGGAGAGGGCGAGGGGGA